AGCCTGACCTGTGATAAATAACCAGATCATCAATTCAGCTGTTTGGAAAACACAAGACAATGTGTGCTGTCAGTTTTGCTGCAACGACCTGGATGTTAGGGATGAACATATTCCCTACACAGGCTTTATAAATTAAGTACTTCTAAATTTTGAGAAACTTGCCTATGAGAAACTTGCTGGAAGATAATTTTAATGAAAGAAACTATTTAAAGCACTGTCCTGAATAGAGTTGAATTTTATCATGYATTCAGGCACTTTAGAAAACCAGAGTACAAATTTCTACAGCTTCCTCAGAAAGCAGCTACCAAGGGGATGAAATACAAAGTGAGAGCAGAAGCACCGTGGAAGATGAAGGAAGGGATGCAGCAGTCACAGGCCTAGTGCCACCCTGGAAGATGGCAGTCCTGGCACTTAGCAGCCTCGATAGACAATTGAAGGAAAGCAATTTTGGTAACACATAGCACCAGAATAGTGCAGTGCCCTTGGCTTGCTGCTGGAGGAGACTAGGARAGCTAAAGTTTGTGAATGCACTCCTGAATATTTGAAATATCAACTTCAATTAGACCATTAACACTGTTTCACATGGGCAGAAATACTGAATAGAAGTAATTTCTGACCACAGGTTAATTAAAGTATAAGAGCCAAGCTGATCACATTTTTTCATCTTATATGTCATACTCAAATGTCTGAAATTCTGCAAAACCTGGATAGAAGAAAAGAATTTTCTTTCAACTCTAGTAATGACTTGGCTAATTAGTAATGTCTCAGRGAAGCAGATACCACATACTAAAGAACACAAGAATGAAGAGGGTATGGTAGATCTTGGAGTTGTCTATATCCTTCAACAGAGAAATGACAGTCAGCAAAATTTATCTTTTGGTTATAATTATTATTCCTCCCCCTTTTCAACTCAACTGAATGAATTTACTCTGTTGTAGACAGAGATGTTACTTAAGCTCATGTTTCCTACTGTTTTGTATGCTTTAAAAATGAGAAGATAGAAAAATTCCTTACTGTTTTAATTCTCTATGCACTGTTCTAGGAAATTCTTTAATACAAAGAAATAGAAAGGAAAGCTTTAAACGGAGGCATTATCAAGGTCCAGAGAAGAATCCAAAAAAAAAAAAAAAAAAGCCAAACCACTATATGTTATTAATTTATTTCTGTAGAAAGCTAAAATCTGGCTTTTAGAAAAGAGTGTGAGATAGCAACCAGCAATGCAGTTTTATTCAGTAGAATGCCCAGGCAAATGCTTAACTTTAAGCAAATTCTTAATTTTATTGATCTGAGAACATTTCTCAGAGGTCAAAATGAGAATTAGATATACAGGCTTGGATTGAAACATATACTGATTTACAGTCTGAATATGAATCAGCATCAGATTTTCCCTTTAGGATCCATTAATAGTAGCTCATACTGTAGTGCAAGACCACAGAGTCAGAATGTATGAACCCTTAGCCCTTCACTGATGAGAGGCAATCAGCACCAGSTCCAGTCCCTTGGGGCATCCTGTCATGCTGACCTTTTTCCTGGTTTAAATCTTTTCTCTTTATGTGGTCATTGATTATATACATATAGATACATATTTTTTAATTTCCAGTTCCATACGAGCCTACCAAATTCAGGTTTTATTGTCAATTAATCACTTCCTTTCTTATTACCTTTTTAATGTTGATGTGAAAGTTGTGAATTACTGTATGCAATGACAATGACATGACCATTTTTTGAAAAAGAAAGCGAAATGGGAATACAGATATATTTATTAACACGAAATACAAATATGCTGGCTTATTTAGATTATGCAGAAACTGTAAATGTTTGTGGTCAATCAAAGTGACGTTTAAGATGCTAAAATAACTGACAAATGAAGCAAATGCTGATGTTTATTAAATAGTTACATTTGTCATTTAAGGCTGGAGATTTGACACAAAATGTATGACACATAAATAATAAGATATATTATAGATCACTCACTGTTCTGTTTTTTGTCAGTAAAACTTTTCTACCAGTCTGAAATAATAAAAGGGATCTTCAGGCTTCTGAGACAGGAATCAGCATGTGCTGAAGTGTGGGATGTTTGACAAAACAGAGTGTAGAAGAAATAGATATCAAACCAGAATGACTGAAAAATTATAGTGAAACATGAGAAACCTGTCAGCTTATCCTGTAAAGAAATTTAGCATATAGAGGATGAGAAGCCATGCTGGAGCTCTGAAAATGAAAAAAGGATCAGTACTGTAGCTGGCTGTTGGGAGGGGAAAGTCTTCAGCAGCTTTTGAGAACTCCAGTGTCATGTCACAAAACCAAAGACAAAAATACTGCTCTCAGTAGATCTGATCTACGCCCTGCAGATGTTACATCAGCACCTCAGAGAGACTACTTTTATCTCTGTCCTCATAACAAATTCTTCAGAAGAGCAATGAGAGATGATTTTCTCCAAATGCATTTTCCTGCAGAACAGTCTTTACACTGAGTTCATTTCCACCATCATGACAAGCAGTGTGCCCTATGCTGTTGGTGTGACAATGCATTAACCTACATCCTTAGCTGAGGCGCAGAGAGGCTTCTTGGAGGGGAGTGAGGAAACATAAGAGGCCTGATCCCACAACAGCAATGCAGAGGAAAAACGACTGTCCTCCTTGTAATGGGAATTACAGGGAATTGTAATCCTSGGATTAACAATGATGAGTAGAAGGAATGCTCCTATTTACAGTTCACCCCGTTTATCAGGAGCTGGTAGGCAAAAACCACCTGATAAACATGTTAGCATGCATTCTCAAGAGACAGCATGACACAGTGTCAGATGGGCTGCATGGTTTGAGACTGTACCTCAGGCAGGAGAAATGGTGATGTAGGAAGAATTATGTTGCTATCCCTCTGGAGACCTCCCAATCATAGGACACACCTAGTTTGGGTTCCTGAGCACCAGCTGGCTCCTCGAAAGTTCCTCCAACACATACTCTGTATAAGCACCTAATTCAGCTTGATCAAAAATTCCCAGCAAACTAACTGGAAAGTTTCTCAAATGACTGAATTTTCTTTTTCCACTACATTGAAAGTTTGCTTTAAAAAAAAGGAAAAAAAAAGGGGAAAAAGCCAAAAAATTCGAAGTGACTTGTTGTAATGGGGAAAACCAACTGTGACATTCTTAATAAAAAACCCCATGGCTGCTTCTGTACATTTATCTCATTGAGAAAATACACATCCTTTGAAATATGAAAATTGTTGCAAAGTGARAGAGAAATCATTTTGGGAAACCCTTGTCAAATTATTAACAACATATTMCATAGAGAAGGACAAAGAAAAAGGAAACCTCATAAAATACAAAAGGTCAAAGCTCTGAAAGAACTGTCTGTCTTATAATTAATTTTCTGCATTCCATCTCTGTTCTCAAGCACAGAAAACTCCTTTTAAATTAAATTATCTTCCAGTAGAGAAATACATGGAATTATAATGCACAAGAACACAYTGCTACTTTAATATTCTACACTATTTATAAGACAGCACAAGGCACAGTTTTTCACTTTTGAATACTGGCAATCCAAATAATTTTAATTTTGTAGGCATTTATCTATTTAAAATTTAGAACAYATTAAATTCACCGTAACATCCTGAGATAATTTTGCTTAGAAATATATCAGATCAGGTTTCCATTYATGCTGCATTTACATTTATATCCATTTTAGAGGCTCTCTTGTCTGCCAGAATGATTTGAAGTGACCTTGCTGAAGGAAAGCAGGGTCTATATTGTATTTTAAAATGCTGATTATTCAAAAAGACATTGATGATATAGCAAAGTACACTGTATGACACAGAACCTCAGCTGGCTGATATTGTGGTAATTTCATTTACAGTAGTCAAGTTATATGGGTTTCCCTCAACTGGGGATCTAGTCATGAATACCTCGTGCAAATAGAGGATATGTATTAGAGGTCTATTGTGTATATTTGGCAAGTGTTTCCACACTTCAACCAACTGTGGAAACTGAGTTTGGAARGTAAACATAACAATTATACCCAAACTATATCCATACCCTTCTTTTAAACTTTGCAGRTCTTGATCAAACCATCCATTGTCTTGGAGATTATCCATGTTTATGGCATTGTATCTGAACACAGAGTATTATGAAGCTATACATAATTTATATAGATCAAAACTAATTACTATGAAAATACTCAGGTTGCTCAAGCTTACTTTTTTAAYACCAGATCTGATTTTGTCTGTCACCTGTGAGGACGGAATTGCACCTTGTCCAGACAGTGAACATCCCATCTCCCTCTACATTCTGAACATAGGTCTCAAGGAGAATTTACATGGTTCATAGGCTTGAAACAGATGGTGCATTTCATCCCGCAGCAGCCACTCCTGTCAGTGATGGCAGAAGAAAATAGGGTTCGGATTTTTCAAATTAAAAAGCCTGTGTTATTAAAACCAGCTGTAATCATTTGGGACTGAAGGCCCATTTATGTTTTCATTTGCTGTGCTGAAACATCAGTAATCCCATTGTGCTCTGTGGAATTACTGTAGGGTCTTATTCTTGTAAATGAGAACAGAATTTCTTTCTTAATCCTGTCTTTGAAACTGAATGATTACAGCCCAAATTGCCTCTGTGAATGGAAAAACTGAATATCCCCATTGAAACATTTTCTACAGGTTTCACAGAATTCTTTTCCTGCATACCTATGCTGATTTTACAAGATTTTAACATCAATCAAAAGATGAATTTTAAAAAAAATTAAACACTAAGTCCTCTTCAAATCAGAATTTCCTAATTTTATTCTTTGGTGGATGTCCTCTGTAATGACAGTGTCCCTGTGGTTCATATTGTTTCTAATGGTCTTAAATGGACACTCCTGAAAACTACTTCTTGGGGAGAAATCAATAAATACACCTTTGTGCTACTGCACAGAACTGTACAAAGGAAGCAGAACAAAAACAGCTGATGAAAACCATAGGCAGTAGCAGGTCTGATTATGTCTTTTAATAAAATTCGGCTGTAACTTCTGTGAACATTAAAGCAGTAAAAGGGGCAAAAATTCACAGCGCATAATTTCAAAGTGACAACAATCAAAGTTCCTGGGAAAAGGAAGAAAAACATTATCCTTTTTGTACTTGTTATGTAATTGAGCTTGTCCTTGGACACACTTCACCTCCAATCACACTTCTTGCAGTTTGATGTAGAATTTTTATCACTTCTTTATATTTTTTCATCATCATCACTATTTATTGTTTTAAATGTGACAGGGCTTGCCTGCTTTAGAGAGGTTTTTGAAACATCTGTGTGCATGGTGGACATGGCTATAGTCTCATAATCCTCCTCACGGGAGTGGAAATGACAAAAATGGAAAAAAAACTGCAAGTCCCTTTGGAAGTTCTTATTGAGAAACCCGTAGAAGATGGGATTCACACAGGTAGAGATCATGGCAGTGAGGTGGCAAATCAGGAACAACAGGTTGTGGCTGCAGGTAGCAACGGGCAGAATTTCATGATTCCAATCAAACACAATATTGAAGATGGTGAGAGGCAGCCAGCAAACTGCAAATGCGACCACTATTGATATCAGCATGATGTTGATCCTTTTGGTTTCAGAGGATCTGTACTTACTGTCTCTCATCTTGTCCATCATGTTGTTCCTTTTTTTTAACCGTATGTATATCTGCAGAAAATTCAACAAAAAGAAATGCATGGAATAAATTAACTTACCACTGTCATCTTTGCAAGGATAAACAAACATCGGATAAAAAGAAGCACATATTGCAAGAGGATTTTATCTTACCTTCAAGTAGCAAATAAATATAAAACAAAGCGGTCCAAAGTATTGAATCACCAAAAGCRTTGTGGTGTAAGAAAGCCTGGCAGTGTCCAAGGGGAACAGGTCCAAGCAAACATATTTGTCCTTGTATTCATCAAATGTTACATTTCTGAAGGGCTCATCTGTTAATACGTGGTAGATCAGGAAAGGCAAAGAGGAAGCAGTGGCTAAAATCCATATGGCAGCAATCCCCATGTARGCATGTCTGTTGCTCGGCCTCCAGCCACGGGGATTGATGATCAGCTGATGGCGCTCAACAGCAATGAGGACTAAAGAAAAGACCGAGACGGTGATGGAGGCGCACTGCACAAAGGGGTTCAACTTGCACATGGCCTCCCCAAAAATCCAGTGGTCCATTAAAGTGTACACAAAGGTAAAGGGAAGACACATGATGGTCACTAGGAGATCAGAAAACGACAGGTTGACAATGAGGATGTTAGTAACATTGCGCATCTCCTTTTGTTTTAAAATAATGACAATCAAGGCCAGATTCCCAGAGACTCCCAGAATTATCACGGTCCCATAAGCCAAGGCCAAAGTGAAGACCATGGCCAAAGGCACATGGCAATCTTCGTCCTCAAACTGCAAGATCTGCGAGTTCATCTCCGAGAAATTCAGGTGGCCGGAAACGTTTCCCAGTGGGGCGAGAACCGAGGTATTCATGTCGCTTCCCACTCGCCGCCGACCTTCGCCGCCGCCGCGTTCATCCAGAGCGCTCCGAGTTCAGAACGCGCCCATCAGCGCCGCGGCGAACCCGGGAAGAGCCGCTCCTCAGGGCCGCATGATCCCGCAGCACCTGCGGAGAAGGGAGGCAGTGGGGCCGGTCATCCCGTGTCCCGTGTCCTGTATCCCGTGTCCCGTGTCCCCTGTCCCGTACCCCGTATCCCGTGTCCCGTGTCCCGTGTCCCGTGTCCCGTGTCCCGTGTCCCGTGTCCCGTACCCCGTGTCCCGTGTCCCGTGTCCCCTGTCCCGTACCCCGTATCCCGTGTCCCGTGTCCCCTGTCCCCTGTCCCGTGTCCCGCGTCCCGTGTCCCGTACCCCGTGTCCCGTGTCCCGTGTCCCCTGTCCTCTGTCCCGTACCCCGTATCCCTCGTCCCGCCGCCGCCGGGCTCCGCGGGGAGGAGCAGGGGAGGCAGGAGCGAAGAGCAGCACGGACGGGGAACACGAGCCCTGCCCGGCCCGGCCCCGCCGGCACAAGCAGCACGGAATAGCGACTTGGGAAGCAATTTCAGCCTTCCACCAGCATAGCCTCCACTTTATGTTTTACACCTCCTTTTAACCTGCTTTCTCAAACTGTTCTAAGTGAAATTATAGCCAGGCATCACATGAGGAAGGGGGAAAGCCCCTCTAACCAATGGGACGATTGGAAAAATGACTCAGTTGCTGTTTGGGTTTTTTTTTCCGTAAGGCATACACTTGATGTTGAGCAGCCAAGCRCCCTCAGGAGMACTGGCACTGAGTCAAAGGTAAATSAGGAACTCTGAACACCTTAATCTTAGCTAGCAGGGCTGCGCAGCAGAGAAAGAAGCAAACTACAAAGACAAAAAATGGCAAAATTTAAGCACTCTAGAAAATTTCTTTAGCTATGCAACAGAAGTAGGTGTTCTTAAATAACCACTCTTTTCCAAGGCCTTGRATTTTAGAAATCTGAAGCTCAAGCAAATGTGTTCAGAGGGCAGATTATAAAAATAAAATAAAGTTAATTGATAAGCCATTAAAAACCAATAATTAATTGATAACCTGACACACCTTTAGCTGAACTTACCATTAGTGACATTGAATCTGGGCACCATTAGTGGCACTGYTTTCTGCACTGAATCTGGAACTTTCTCTCTGCCTACTCCCATGAGCTAAATTTATTGCTCACTTAACCTTAGGTTATGGTAATGAAAGTAATGCCACTTAAAATTCACACAAGTGGGTTTCACACCTGACTTCATATGGCACTTATCACAAAAGCTGTAAAAACATTGCCCACTAAAATATACTTCATTAGAAGTTACCCTGAATAGGTGAGCTCTTGTTCTTTATTCGATATAAATCTCTGTACCATGTAAGTCTCTCGAGTAAAATTGTCTTTGTCTCTTACTGGTGACAGACACCCTTTTAACAAGCCACATGCTGGGGAGCAGAGCTGGGGCTGCCTCCTCCCTAGGGCAGAGCCAGTGTGTGAGGGCTGGGCTTGCAGCTCCAGCTCCTCCTGAGGGTCAGCCAAAGGATGATCATGCCAATGCCATGCCTTCTCACTGCTTCAGGAGCTCACCTCAGCTGCCTCTGCTGGCTCTTTCTAATCACCACAAGGCTACATGAAACTGCAACAGGCGATGTAACTTGCCTCTGAGTGACATTTTACTGTAAGAGTTAACAGCAACGATTTCAGACAAAAGGCATCTCAGTGTAAGGTTTGACTACTCTGTTTTGTGCTAGCTAGGCACGCACCTGAGTATTATCTCTCAGACCGTCTGCCTCTGCTAACTAAATTTATCAGATCTCCTAGTCCATCAAAACTATTTTAGGGTCCAATAAAGAAATTTCCATTTCCATGACCCCTTGAAACATGACTTGTGTCACAGCCAGAAGTAGCTGCTTTACCCAAAGGGAAAGTGTGTGGGTGGTGTGGAGAGCCAAGGCTCCTCGATTCCCGCAGTGTAACTTTATTGTAGTCTCAAAATCAGTGTCTGTATTTATTCATGACCTCCACTGTCACTTGTATAGAGGTGGGCACTCCAGCCCTGTGACTTGATGGAATTATGGCAGGAGCAGGGCAGGTGAGGAGCCGTGTCCTGCAAAGAGAGAACTGGGCGGACTCTTTYGCTAGCTGGGACCAAACTGCCCCTAGCAATAAGGTCTCCAGGGTTTCGTGCTCTTGATTTTTCTACTCCGTTAGCCAAGCTCTGCTCTTGCTTATTTATTAAATATGAAACTCAAAACCAGAAAATGCTGCTGCTCTTTCTTCCCGTAGCAGAGATGCAAGCTAAAAGCATATCTAGGGGCCAACTCAGAAACACAGCACTGCTGGCAAGTGACAAAGAGTCCTTCTTTTCTGTCCTTCTGCAGAATGGACCAGACAACAGARGGGCATGAAGTTCACTCTCCAGGTCAGCTGCACTGTAACTCATCTCCTAAACCCYCAGCTCCCAAGTCAGGAGGATCCCTCCCTACTCTCGAGTGCTGGCTTGGGGTGGGGAAAGCCCATAGCTCTGCAGATCCCTCAGGGTGAATGCAGAGTCTCCCCTACCAGGCACATCCTCCTGACTCTCCGTGAGAAATCTGGTCAAAAGTTTAGCACCAACAGACAGGGTGAAATAATGTGCTGTGAGGTGACTGAAAACACACAGTAAATCTATCGGAGCTGTTCAAAAGCAAGCACAAAATGCTGTCAGCCCAAGCTGACGGCTCACCCATCTCAGAAGTTCGACCTGGAGCCTACCCCTCCCTTGGATTTTGTCACCGTTACCTAAGACAGCAAGCAATCACCAGCCTATCTGGCACACAACCACCCAGATTCACAGAAAAGCAACCACAGGGGAAACTCACCTTGCAACTGCTCTGCCCGTCTTTGGTCTGCTCAGGGGCTGGCTCAGGAGGCTGGATGGAGAAAGAGTAGGAAAAGGAGAAAGATCCTTTGGTATTTCTCGAGTCAGGTCCTAAAGATTGGTGAGGAAGGCTGGAGACTCCCCCTTAAAGCTGAACTCCACCTTACCCCAGTATCACATGATGGTGCTCTACGGAGTAGATCCTGAAAATCATACTGCAAGCCTATCACCTTTAAACTGCACATCTGGGGGTGGGTTGCCTAGTAATTCCGAAAGAAATGCAATTAAATATTGAAAGAAAAGAGGGGGGCTGGGGGGAGAGCGCAGGGAAAAGCTCAGGAAGGAAGACAGTTTCAAATCGGTCTCTGCCTGTTTCATTTGTCTGCAAGTTATTGCCATCTTGTGGCCAAACGAAAGATGGAAATAGAAGCTGTTGAAAAGATGAGGAAGATATTTTAAGCATCAGAACCAGGTTACAAAGTTTGGATTTGGCTTTTTAAACCAGTACAGCTAGCTTCTGGTCTGCTTTTATCATAAATAGCCATGACTGGATCAAAGAGAAATGTCAAGTTGCTGGAACACCTGGCTGTCTCACTCACAGAAAGCACTGCACTGATCTACTTCAATGGGCATAAAAGACAGTGAGTTGGGAAGTCTGTGAGAAGTTACCCAGATAAACTTAAGCAACGCTTTGAAAATGCCCTAACAAAACCTTCAGACTGTAATAGAAGTTGGATTCCTTGGAAAACAGAAGTTCCCTCACTCTTCCAAGGCTCCAGGTACATTTTCCTGTCTAAGGAGTTGAATGCTCATACATTCCTACCTTCAGATCTACACCTATTTATATGGCAACATTGTGGTGTCACTAATAACTCTCAACTGAGAAACCAGCTTAATTATAGCTAAAAAAATTAGTTGTACATAATAAATGATTGTAACATTTTTTTAATTTTTTTTTTTTTTTTGTAGAAGGAGCCACACAGGAAGATTTCAGAACCCAGAGTAAGGCTGATGTTTACACTGTATTTACAGGAGCTCAGCTCTACTGCATTGTAATTGCAGTCCTTGATGTAAGAAAGAAAACCGCAGGCACACTGTTGCTATAAACCTGTAGCCGTGGTACTGCTGACGTTGTAGGAGCAGCAGCCAGAAGGGAAGGGCAGGCTGTATGTAATGCCTCTCAAGAACTCCAGTCGTATGTGGGTCATTAGCATGCAYCTGTCTGTGACTGAGCAGAGCAAAAGCAGGTACACTCAGGCAGGGATCCAAGCTGAAGGTCTTGTAAAGAGCGTTTTTTGCGTATTTCTGTCTGAAGCAGTGACACTGTAGGACATGTAATACTGAGACCTCTCATTGTTGCGGATGTGGAATGATTCATCTACACTACCAAAAAAAAAAAAAAAAAAAAAAAAAAAAAAAAAAAAAAAAAAAAAAAAAAAAAGAGTTGTCCAATATAGATATTTTTAAGGGCAATAGATGAATACATCTATTCTCTTCCAGGCAGAGAAGAAGCCTTTTTTTTGTTATGCCAGGATGTTCCCACTATTTCTCTGTAACGCTCTTACCCATATGGTCAAAACGGCTTTTAACAAAACTAAAGAAAGCATTCTGTGATACAGAATTGTTGTACTCTGCCAACAGGTATCCAAGGCAGAGATACATTTTTAGGACCACTTCAGAATAAGAGATTTGAGTTTATATGGCAAGTTGGGGGAGCTGCAGGGGTGCCTTCTGTGGGAAAACTACACCCATGTGGAACAGAACCATTTTCATCCGACTCCAAAATGGACCCACTGCCGGCCAGAGCAGAGATTGCCCCCTGCAGCCATGAGGAAACCATGGTGACACAAGCTGGTCCCCTGCAGCCCGTGCAGGACTATAGTGGAGCAGATGTCCCTACTGTGGTCCATGGAGAGGAATCCACACAGGAGCAGTCTGTTCCTGAAGGACTGCAATCCATGGGAAGCTCCCATGCTGGAGCAGGGGAATATCATGAGGAGGAAGGAGTGCAGAGACATGTGATGAACCCACCAGAACTCCCCGCACCACTCAGGGGTGGGAATACAAAACAATTGGGGGGCAAGAATGATGTTGAGCCTGGGTAGAACAGGGACATAGGGAGTTGTG